AACGCTATTTCTTTCTTTCTTACATAAACATCAAGGTTTGTCGCTTTCTCTCTTCCATATCTATCTATCCATCCGTCTGTTTCTCTCACTCACTTCATTCTTCCCTCCTCCTCTCCCCTCTCTCCCCCACTCTCTCACTGTGTGTGTGTGTGTGTGTGTGTGTGTGTGTGTGTGTGTGTGTGTGTGTGTGTGCAGGTACGTTGGGTCGGTCTGAGATATTTGTCAGTATCTGGCGTTGGGCACAAGACAAAATTTATCTCATCAAGTGTTTGTAAACGATAGTCACTATCACTAAACACTAAACAGAGACAGAGACAGAAAAAACCGTAACGTGACTCGTTACAACAAGCATGAAGCAAACGCTTCACGGTATATTAACGAGCATGTAACTTTACGGAGTTGGCGCTAATCTCCCTTCACATGGCGACAAAGCGTTTTTTCTCTCTACCCGTCTTTTGTCTCACTGCGTATTGTTCAAGCTTGAAACATCAAAGCATAACCCTATCTAATCCCCACCCGCAGTCGATTCTAACTTTGTGACGAACACTTTAATATCCTGCTGTCTTTAACGCAAAGTGGAAGCGGATCTAGACAGGCACAATAATATTTGCAAACTCACCCCAACAGCCTCAGTGCCATATCCTGACATTTCCGTTTCCTGTTCCTCTGACATGCGCAGACATTGATCGTAAAGGGCGCACGAATACATCAACCGGAAGCTGAGAGCGAGGACTATCGCCGAACAGAGGTAGCTCCCGGTGTCGGAGTGGATTAATTCACTATTAGCGTCTGCGAATTGCCTATCACCCGCTCTGTGAATACTGAAATGGCAACGCTAGTAAACTGATGCCGAAATTACAAATGATGGAAGGGGACGGAGTCTCCCTCGACGGGTTAATTTGGAGGAAACAGGGCTAAGCTCTGGACTTATTTTATTGTGCGAGTTGCTCTCTATGGTGTGCTGGTCGTTTGGAAATGGGTGGAATTCTAACGGGCTGTGACAGGGTTATGGGCGAAAGAGCACCGGGGGTTTTGCTACTAAAGTTCGAGAGGTCGTAGTGCTAATTTTCACAGTAAAATAAGTAGTAAAGGTTGCATAGAATCCTTAAAATACAGGAAATATACATTGACCATTCCGGGCAAAGATCCTTCTTCAGTGCATACGTACGTACGCAAGTACGCATGCACGTACACACACACACA